TAATATATATATAGTAATGAAGTGTAAAAACATTGGATAACAAACCTATATCTTTTTCAAGCAGAACACAAACTTGTTATGTATTGAAGGAAAGTTTAAAGAGTCCTCTTTCTAAAAATATAAAAATTTGACTCATACTATGTATGTTACAGATTTGTGACAACATAAAAGAAGACAGAGTAAAAATAAATAATCAGAGATGCCATCTCCTACTCACCTGGAACCTTAGCGTGTTTGACACCTTTGAACAGTTCTTCAAAGTGGCTTTCCTATGATGGCACTAATTAGTTCCAGTCGCAAATAATGCGAGAGCAATAGCCTGCAAAAGACAGAGCCTGTTTCCAGACCTTGTCGTTGCGTGGGCGGTATCTCTGCAAATATATCTCCGGATAACAGCATTTTCGCAAACGGGAGCGTTCCGGCTGTATACACTGGATAATGTACCTATCACTGGATACTTTATAGTAGTCAATGAATTGGAAAACTTTACGACTATTAATAATAATACTAATATTACGTTATCAGCTACTAATCCTGATCCTTGTACATTAAATAACGTATCAGTTTCTCCTATTAATGATGCTGGAATAGGTTCATCTAATAATATCAGCTTCTATTATGAAAAAGGTTAGTCTTCTTGTATAGAGTCTATTATTTGCACAATAGTACATTGTTTTGATTATTGTAACAGTTGTGTTAAATTATAATAGTAATTTTTATTATCTTGTTCCCAAGAATAAATTTATACCCGACGTTAACATAAGATGAATAATTCTATTAACTTAGATAGTCTGTACCAATACAATATAGCATGCCTCTCTGCACCAATTTAAACTAAATGGGAAGTGTAAAGCTTTTTGGCATAAGTTTTTGGTATCCTTTGACCTTGCCAGGGGCTCCAAATTCCCTCCAATTATGTCTATATCCTATATTTATACAGTTCCTCTTGTCACTCCTAATGTTTCAGTAATGCCAGTAGTTGATGAACAAAAATTATCAGTAAATATCAGTTTTGATGTAAGTTTGATTATTAACACTATGCAAGTTTTTCCACTCTATATATTTAGCATACAGAATTACTGTGCATTGGTGAATATCCCAATGATATAACTGTCAATATATTGAATAATAATAATGAGATACAAGAGAGTGTTAGTTTACCAAAGTAGTGTTGTTCTAGTATGGAATTGTATTTTAGTTCTAGTTCTAGTTTTTTGACTAAAAATACTACTATTTTAGTTCTAGTTCTAGTTTTTAACTAAAAATATATTAATTTTAGTTTTAGTCCTAGTTCTTTGACAAGAAATACAATAATTTTAGTTCTAGTTCTAGTTTTTTGACTAAAAATACAGTGATTTTAGTTCTAGTTCTAGTTTTTTTACTAGAAGTAGTGTGATTTTAGTTATAGTTCTTTAAACTAAAATTTCTAGTATTAGTTTAGAACTAAAGCCTCCAATACTTACGTTCCAGTTGAGTCATGCCAAAAATTGGAGTAATTTAAATACTAGTAGTAGCTCTTAACTAAAATCTTTTTTGTTATATTGCTGAGTTATGCTTCAAATGTACA